TATTTTTTTTCTTTCATCCCATAATTTTCAGAATTATGAGCGAAAAATCTTTTCTGAGTTTTAGTGACAAATATCGACAGATATATATATATAGTTACAAAAATATGTTAAGTGAATCACAAATCTAAACCTAATGGACTTGGACATATACAAGAGTCCAACTCGCCCAAGTCAATAGTCCTTGTAGCTGGTGGTTTAATTGGCATCGTTCAAAATATCCAACAATAAGACCAGAATTGATGTTACATTATAGAGACACTTATTTTAATATCCAACAATAATATCCAACATTGTCTTATTTTATTTTCAAGAAAGAGACTCTTAATAAGACAAGGGGACAAAGATGCCTGACACCAAACAAAATAAGTATAAAAACGGAAGAAACTCGATTTTCTCTCGACCTTATTCCTTAATTGGCCAAGTACTAATTAAATTAGCATCCAATTTTTTTCTCTTATATCTATTATAGTTATAATAATAACAAAAAAGGGAATATGAAGAACACAAATACTCGACGTTAACATCAAAAGCCACTTTTATTCTTCCGCTCTACAAAGTTATATTCCTAACATTTCGTCTCTACATTTTTATAACAAATATTGTTGCTTTTCTCTACGGCTAAAAAACAATTTTAAGATTCCCCGCGTAATTTAACACTTTTGTTTTTTCACGTCCAGAAACTTTCAGACCACAAAGATGCAATATTATTTGCATGCGAAAAATATATAATTCCAACATACATAACATTCATTCAATCTTGAGTTTTTCAATAATTTATCCAAAAATGTGTTTTCTTATACCCATAATCGACGTACCTGTTTATGCCAAAAAGTCTATATAATAACTAACATTACAAAAAAGGCTATCTTTTGATACCAAAAGATTGTTTTCCACCGTATGAAACCAAAGCAAAACCTACCAAGAAAATATAAAATATGTATGAAGAATCAATTCCTCGAAAATTCCAAAGTCTCATAATAAAAAGAAATCTCAAGAAAACGAACGTTGGAGTTTCTATTCCCTTTCTATTTCAGACAAATCACCACAGCTTACTTTAAAGTTCCACACAGCTTGCCCTCATTATCAACTCTCATTTTCATACATACATTCGATTTTTTTTTCATAAGAATCTTTTAAGAGTTTTATTTAACTCAAGGAAAGATATGTGTTGGTCTAATATTAATAATATCTCTCCAAACACACATTTGCACATATATATTGTTTGTAATTTTTGTAGGTGAATTCTTAGCCAATGAGATGTGATGATACAGAGCTGATTATTAAAAATATATGTATGAATTTCTTGTATGTGCTTAATTAAGAATATTCTTTAGCTTATTTTTTTTGGTTAAAGAATATTCTTTAGCTTAAATATGTGTTTTTAAACTGATCTTAAAAAACTAAGCCTAAGCGAAGGTAGGGACCCTAGCTACCTTATTTTGGTTCACAAACGTCTACTCAACAATGACAATTAATTAAGACATATACTTAGCATAAAACATTAATACTCTTAATTAGTATAAAACGAATATCACACAATTCTACTGTACAATTCCAATGTCGATGAAGAAAGTCAATTTTTTCTATTTTTCTTTAGCAAAGAAAAAGAGTCATTTTTAAAGAAAATAGTAAGTCTGTTTCATTGCCTAACGAACAATATTGTTGCCCACTATGATTTTATGATCTTTTTTTTTTTTGATCTTTTAATTTATAGTGTTAGGAGACGAGTAATGATTTTCCCTAGCATGTTGTTTTCTATATAGACGTTTATATGATCAAATGGATTAGACATGATTACCTTTTGTTATTTTTAATAACAAATTTTAACTTTATTATTATAAATAGCTACTTCCACAATTTAAACGCAAACACTTACAACGGCCTTAATATTAATATTAGGCTAATAGCCCTTTAACCCTACGAACAAACAAACACTGTATACCTTTATATACCATTAACGAATGCTAACATGTTAGTGCCGAAAGCATCTGTCCTTTGTTATGTCAAATTTAGTGCAATTCTAACAAAACTTTATATAATCAAGTTAAAAAGAAAATTAAGTAAAGTTGAAATGAACTTTTCTGATTTAGGCTGAT